CAAAACCATGTTTGGAAACATTGCGAATTCGATCACTCGACTGCATCTTATTTTAAATTATTTGCTCTTTTTGGTCATTCTGTTCCATTGTTTTGAAGGAAGCACTTTGATAGGATGCGACTAACAACTCAATGCAGTTACAAAACAGATTTTATGGAAAAAAAAATACGGAAAGAAATGAAATTTAAAAAAATATTACTTTTGTCTGTTGCGATGGCAACAATGACAAATCTGAAAATTTTAAAGGGCTTTAATACAACTACATTTGGTGACCATCATTTCTATAAAGTTTAAGTAAGTTTGGCCATTCTCGAGAAACTTGCAGGACGGAATCACTAGCAATTTATCACAAAATTGGTCACGTGACATCAGCTTTTCTTACATTAATCGTATTTTCCCTCCATCCTTCTCCAATTTTTCTCCCTAAATATTTTTGACAGGAGGCAAGGAACATTTCTCTAAGGTTTCAAAATGATTTGATTAAAAACACTCTAGAAAGATGATTTAAAAAATACCATTTTTTATCAGTTTCTATGGCAGCAGTGGTCTTTTGAAAAAAATTGAAGAAAGATTACACATCTTAAGTTAGTGAATAGTATGACAGTGGAATTGCATCAAAATTGGCAAAGCCATCTTTGAGAAATTTTGCAGACCGCATTATTAGTCGAACAATAGCAAGATGTATCCTCGACTTCGTCTGGGGTGACATAAAAAAAGATCTCAATAATTTTATATGTGATTTTACAAAATAAAGCCAAACTGGAAATGACATGATTTTTATCTAATAAAACTTGATTTCAAAAGATGCAATGAATAATATATTATGAAAATATGATTCATGATCAAGCGGATAAAACTATGTGTTACAAATACAGGAAAAGCTGAATAACAACTTCAGTTATGGGTTCCGATTACAAGTTCAGAATAGAGAATCATGCGACAGAAAATTATATTGTATGGAAGTTCTGTTGTTTCTGCTGCAGCTATATAATTATCAATATGGCATTGTCATGAAAAAGTGTAGCTCTCTAACAAAACTTCTATCAATATTCTGAAGATCATTCAAAGACCATTTTTAGCTCACCTGAGCTGAAAGCTCAAGTGAGCTTTTCTGATCACATTTTGTCCATAGTCCGTCTGTCCGTCCGTCCGTCCGTCTGTAAACTTTTCACATTTTCGACTTCTTCTCCAGAACCACTGGGCCATTTTCAACCAAACTTGCCACAAAGCATCCTTGGGGGAGGGGGTTCAAGTTTGTTCAAATGAAGGGTCATGCCCTCTTCCAAGGGGAGATAATTAAGAATAATTTAAAATTTGGTGTCTTTTTTTAAAAATCTTCTTCTCAAGAACCATTGGGCCAGAGAAGTTGAAACTTATTGGAAACCTTCATTACATAGTGTAGATTCAAGTTTGTTCAAATCATGACCCCCGGGGGTCGGGTGGGGCCACAATGGGGGATCAAAGTTTTACATAGGAATATATAGGAAAATTCTTTAAAAATCTTCTTCTCAAGAACAACAAAGCCACAATTAGTCATATTGATATGAAATCATCCTCAGGTAGTGTAGATTTAAATTTGTTCAAATCATGACCCCCGGGGGTAGGGTGGGGCCACAATGGGGGATCAAAGTTTTACATAGGAATATATAGGAAAATTCTTTAAAAATCTTCTTCTCAAGAACGACAAAGCCACAATTAGTCATATTGATATGAAATCATCCTCAGGTAATGTAGATTCAAGTTTGTTCAAATCATGACCCCCGGGGGTAGGGTGGGTCCACAATGGGGGATCAAAGTTTTACATAGGAATACATAGGAAAATTCTTTAAAAATCTTCTTCTCAAGAACAGCAAAGCCATGATTTGTCATATTGATATGAAATCATCCTCAGGTAGTGTAGATTCAAGTTTGTTCAAATCATGACCCCCGGGGGTAGGGTGGGTCCACAATGGGGGATCAAAGTTTTACATAGGAATACATAGGAAAATTCTTTATAAATCTTTTTCTCAAGAACAACAAAGCCACAATTAGTCATATTGATATGAAATCATCCTCAGGTAGTGTAGATTCAAGTTTGTTCAAATCATGACCCCCGGGGGTAGGGTGGGTCCACAATGGAGGATCAAAGTTTTACATAGGAATACATAGGAAAATTCTTTAAAAATCTTCTTCTCAAGAACAACAAAGCCACAATTAGTCATATTGATATGAAATCATCCTCAGGTAGTGTAGATTTAAGTTTGTTCAAATCATGATCCCCGGGGGTAGGGTGGGGCCACAATAGGGGATCAAAGTTTTACATAGGAATATATAGGAAAATTCTTTAAAAATCTTCTTCTCAAGAACAACAAAGCCACAATTAGTCATTTTGATACGGAATCATCCTCAGGTAATGTAGATTCAAGTTTGTTCAAATCATGACCCCCGGGGGTAGGGTGGGGCCACAATAGGGAATCAAAGTTTTACATAGGAATATATAGGAAAATTCTTTAAAAATCTTTTTCTCAAGAACAACAAAGCCACAATTAGTCATTTTGATATAGAATCATCCTCAGGTAATGTAGATTCAAGTTTGTTCAAATCATGACCCCCGGGGGTACGGTGGAGCCACGATGGGGGATCAAAGTTTTACATAGGAATATATAGGAAAATTCTTTAAAAATTTTTTTCTCAAGAACAACAAAGCCACAATTAGTCATTTTGATATGGAATCATCCTTAGGTAGTGTAGATTCAAATTTGTCGAAATCAAGACCCCTGGGGGTAGGGTGGGTCCACAATGGGGGATCAAAGTTTTACATAGGAATAAATAGGAAACATCTTTTAAAATCTTTTCAAGAACAGGAAAGCCGTGATTAGTCATTTTGATATTGAAGCATCCCCAAGTATTGTAGATTCAAGTTTGTTCAAGGCATCCTCCAGTAGTAGGGTGGGGCCATAATCGGGGATCAAAGTTTAACAAAAGAATATATATAAGAAATATCTTAAAAAATCTTCTTCTCAAGAACAACAAAGCCATAATTAGTCATATTGATATGGAAGCATCCTTAGGTAGTGTATATTCAAGTTTGTTCAAATCTTGAACCCCCCCCCCTCCCTTCCTTCCCCCCAGGGTAGGATGGCAGACATCTTTAAAATTCTGTTTCAAGAACAGCAAAACCATGATTAGTTATATGAATATAGAAGCATCCTCAGAAAGTTTAGATTCAATTTCATTCAAAACATGGCAAATGGGGATAGGTTATGCCTAGAACAGTTGATCAAAGCTTTACGTATGAATATATAGAAGAAGAAATCTGCTAACAAAGAACAGCAGGGCCATATTGACTCAGGTGAGCGTCGTGGCCCATGGGCCTCTTGTTTTTATTTTAAGTTGTGAAATGCTCTCTCAACATGGATTCTTATATTTACAATTAGACGCTTTTAAAATCTGACCGAATGATATGTTAGGTAATTTCTTTGGGTAAGAGGGGAATAAGTACCTGGTAAGTATGCCACTATGTGAGTAAATATTGAATGATGAATCCAAGGTCAGCCATTATATTTTCTACCTGTAAAACATAATATTAGAAATTCTTGTCAAAGTTCGTTTCTAGTGTGCTTTCTCCCCATATCTATTAGGCAAAGTTAAAGGCACCTGTTGGTCTAATACTTTCTAGAAATAAAAGGTATTGTGTTATTTTTATTTCCTGTATGTCCTAGAAATTACAGAGTGGTCACTGGGTTTTTTAAATAAAAATCTCTAAAAAGTCTATGATAGCTTTGGTCCTTGTAAATTCATTCAATGAATTTGGTATGAACTTCAGCACTAGTTCTTAGGATGACCATAAGGTGAGATCTTTAAACATGAAGTACATATATTATATACAGTTTGAGAATATAGAAGAAAGTTTGGAAGAAGACACACCAACTAAATCAGACATAACCACCACTAGCAATGCAAGGCGAAATCGAACAAGTGTGGGGCATTATTCCTGGTGTTTAGACAATTTCCTAGATGAACCAGACCTATTCCTTTCATTTTATTAGTCTTTTCAGTCTCACAATCTTTTCCGGTCCAGTATCTTAGATTTGGATCATCCTGAAATTTAAGTCATTAATTAATGAAAAAAAAAATCTCTAAATGTGGTAATAATTTATATTGTTGGATAGATTTGGCCTTTTTTGTTACGTTGATTAATGAATATGTCTCAGAATCTGTTTTAATGAGATCTTGCTTTAAAGTAAATTAAACAATTTATAATTATAATTATTGTTATTTGATAAAACTGTCATTTTCCGAAAACGAAGTCTTGAAATTCATTCTGAACTTTTTTTTGAAAACATGGCTAAAGAATACATTTTAATGGAAACAAATGCAGTATCATGGCGATTTTGATCTTATCAAAATATTACAAAATCAAATATTTTTTACATGCAGTTTTTGATCTGTTGCGCATGCTGTATGCACGAACAATTTCTAAAAAAATAGGCAAGCTATATACAAACAAGATGTTGAAACAAGGATATATGTCATTTCGTTTGAAGTCACCATTAAGCAAATTCTATGGTTGATACAATGATCTTTTATTATTAAGTCGAATACTGACTGACCCTAGGCTATTATTTCAAACTGGATTATCTACGGATTTTCCCGTTTACCCGATCATGACGCGCATACGGCGGGTGTGACCGGTTGATAGAGTATGCTTACTTCTCGATGGCACCTGATCCCACCTCTGATTAATGTAGAGGTCTGTGTTTGCTGTGTTCTCTTTTTGTATAGTTTCAAAGGAATTTTGAGCTTAATTACATGTACCATTTGTTATCTCATATTTTCATTCCTTAATATTTAAAAGTGTAGTCTTTATAACAAATTCAAAAATGATTTCCTGATAGGTTTATCATGTACTTATGAAGAGGGTTTATCCTAATACGTTATCTTAATACCGTCTTTCACTCTAAGTCATATCATATCAAGTTGTTACATATTTAACTTAAAAAAATGCTTTTTTTCTGTAGAATTGCGTATTCCAATACGATGGTCAAACTGTCTTCAAGAAGTGCCCTAGACATTTTCAATATGTCCCTACTGCTTTTGGGTCTTTGGTCAGAACAAATAGTAAGTATCAATTATTACCGTCTTCCTTGGAAGACGGTACTATCCAGATTTGAAGTATTTTACAGTCTTCGGACTTTGCACTTCCTCTCTTTGTGATTGGTAGAAAATACATGAGGTGAAAATTGTCACATATTTCATTGGTTGAAATGCTGTTTAAGGGAGATAATTTTCTGGCGATCTAATTTTCGTACGACTTAACATTTTTTCTAGATTTTCAATCTTTAAAAAAAATCGACAAAACGAACAAAAATGCAATAAATGAAACTGTCACTTTAATTTTTTATAGCAGCTATTAAAAAGTGGGGTTTTTTTCATAAATTTTAATGGTTAACAGAAATTGAGTGCAAACATTAAAATTTGCATTAATTCTTTTTTTTTTTTTAATTTGTTTTGTTCTACGGTAGGGCAACGACCATTTGATTCTGACGGAAGGGAGGGGGGTGCTGGCAAAATTTTTCTAGTCAAAATATTTATTTTCATGCCAGTCAAGGAGATATTATTTATTTTCAAGATGATCAAGAAAAGATTATTTATTTTCTTTTTCACTGAAAAAAAGTTTGTCTGTAACAAATCTGTTGACGAAATACAAAGCCAAGAACAACTAAAAAATAATACGACCTGATAGATGAATATCAGTCTACTGTTTTTGTTTTTTTTAAAACGGCAAGCTTTAAAATAATAATAATAATAATAATATATATATATATATATATATATATATATATATATATATATATATATATATATATATATATATATATATATATATATATATATATACTTCTGTATACTAGTAATTATAATGCACCTATTTTACGCACGTCATGGTGATTTTGAGTTATCATAGTTGACACCGTGTCATTGTTTTACCTATACGCAATATTGGCCTTAGGAAAAAGCAAAACTTGATACAGTATTGAGAAATTTGGCAAGCAAACCATCTGCCCAAGATTTATGTTTTCCTTAAAGTATGTGTTTTTACAAAAATACAGATCATACTTTCAAACAGTAAATTAGAAGAAAACAGGAAACCCATCCTTTTAGGATAAAAAACATTAAAACACATTATATTCTGAACAATTCAAATCAAAGAAGATCAGGAAAAGCTTTAATTTTAAAAATTGAACTTATTGAATGTATACCAAATTTTAAACAAATCCACCATGTTTACAGGACCTCGTAAGTGCAGATGGTATGTATTTGATTGATCCTGAATACTGTGAGTTTTCAAAAAAGACGAGAAATGAAGTGGAATCTTGTCCAACAGATGAAAAATCATGGATGGATGCTGCAGAAAAAAAGAAATGCCAGTATACGCAGGGTTGCACAGAAACGATGGAATATCATTGTGTTATAAACCCTTGGGGGAATGTGACAGTAGAAGTATGTGCTCCTGTAGCCAAAATTCTTCCAGGTATATTAAAAAAACGTGTAAAAGACAAGCAACTGCCTATTTATTGCCTAGAATTTCTTGCTTTCTCTTGTGAGGTTGGATAATAATCTGGAACGTTCTCTCTTCTTTTTTTTTTTTTTTTTAAGTTTATTTTGCTATATAATTTACCAGTGTTCTTTTATCAAATCCAATTCTTTCCGTTGTATTTGGTTTAAATTAATTCAAGGGTTTTACCTTTTAGTTCTTACTGTTTTAATAATATTTCCAAGAATAATTAACAATTCCTGGACGGAAATATGTATATAAAACTGGTCCCATTGAAAGCAAAATGCACTAATTTCAACATTATTTTTTACTGCTAAGGCAATACTTTTGGTTTTGAGTTTAAAATAAAAGGTACAACAGACTTGTCTACAAAGCAATTAGTATGTATATTTGATGGAATTATCGATCTAATACAATACGTGTTGTGAAAATTATCAAATAATGTTTGATTTAGAAAAGGTATGTGTTTTATACAAGAAATTTGTTAATTTGATATCACATTATAGGTTATTGTGCCGAATACAATAACGATGGAGGAAAAGTACAAGAACATTACATACCAACTTGTGTGGAATGCACTGACGCATACATGTCAAATGAAGCTTATAAATGTGAGTTTTTGAAGTTTGTAATTAACATATGTTTAAGATAAGAGAGTGATCTCCTTTTCCACTTGAATCATGAAGGCGGGAATCCTATTTGGCATGGGGTAGTATGCAATGTACCTGCCTGTTTAGTTTTCTTGCTGCTGTCTATGAAAAAGTTACACACACATAGATGCAAAATACAGAAATACATACAGAGAGATGTATTTTTGTAAATTATTGTATTATCATAAGTATAATTTGATAAACATTGTATATATATATATAATATATATATATATATATATATATATATATATATATATATATATATATATATATATATATATATATATATATGTATATATATATATATATATATATATATATATATATATATATATATATATATATATATATATATATATATATATATATATTAGGGATGTCAGATCGGTCAATTTTTCATAATCGATTACTCGGACGTTTTTCCGATCGAGTACCCGGGTACTCGGTAAAAATGTAAAATTTATTAATACAAGTTTGTTAATTTTCTTGAGCCACGTTAAGCTCGGTCAAACCCCAAAGCTGTTTTTATCACGTTTATAAACGTATATTAATATAGATTCCAACGGAAATGATTTTGTGGTACTAAATTTATTTATCAAATGAACACAAAAGACACAATTAATACATCAAAAATTACAATTGGTGTACAGTTCTTGTTTAGGATCTATTTGATCAACGCAAAAGGAGGACAATCTGTTACGGAGGTTTGTGATGATTAAACTATGGAAAGAGAAGGAAGGACGCGTTGTTGGGATCGCTAGTCTAATATTTTTTTTTCATATGATGGTCGTTTCCACGGTATACACTAAACCTACTACGCATACTGATTTTCAACATTTTTTTTTCAATCTTTCGTTATTTCTAAATATTTCTCCGATTTTAAAGTGGGTAGCGGAATTTCTATGCATGCCGTATATAAACTTAATAATTTAAAAATGAAGATAATAGACCATACTTAAACAATGTACAATGAAAACAATCATTGAAGCCATTCCAAAATTAAGGACAACAATAGGTGAGAACAGCTGTGTACCAGGTGATTGGTCAGTAATAATTGTATAAACACAGCCACAGGCGATAACGGGTGTTTACAGGTGTAGATGACGACACGTTATTTACCGTATGCATAATTAAGTTATTTTTTGATAAAAATATTTACTTTGAAATAAGAAATATATATACTTTGAAATAAGAAAAATATATTTCCGAGTAACCGAGTACCATTTTTAGTATTCGATACTCGGACGTTCGATCGAGTACCCGGTTAACCGGGTACTCGTTGACATCCCTAATATATATATATATATATAATCACAAATAAAACAAATTTTATAACATTCTTTCCTAAAATTTTGACCGTAATGGTGGCTCAGTCAGTAGAGCGCTCGCTCCGTTCTCGGTAGATTTTCGATTTTAGCCGCGACTGACCTAAGTTAAAAAACAGACAGGTAAAAACTGTTCCTTCGCGAAGCGCTCTGCACTTTGTCAAGTGAAAGTTGCAGGTACTTCGGATGAGACCTTAAAAACCGAGGCCTTGTGTCACGAATTGGGCATTGGCACGATAAAGATCCCTCACTGCTCAATGGCCCAGAGTGCCGAGTAAAGGTCAAAATTTGAAGCCATTCACCGATATATGGTGAGTGAAAAATTCTCGAATAGGACGTAAAACAACATACAATCAATCAATCCTTAAGTTATGCAGACTTCTACTGTTAATTTATTTTTAAAGAAAATGAGAAGAAGGCATTTTCACCGTCACGATTGTTGATCAATATTGATTTGAAATGAACTCTTTGTAATACATTTGCTATCGTATACAAGATTAATTGATAAATTTGGCAGATTAAACTGCATGAACAACAGGAAACTGCTGAAACAGAACAAGAACTGAAATTTAAAAAAAATAGCAATATTAGTTGATAATGAGAAATTAAGATGTAAAATATGATACTCATGACTACTTTATTTAAAATAACTTTCTTCAGTGGCGTGTCATTTACTTAAAATGAAGAGATTTACGAACATGGAAATAAAGACAATTGATTATTAAATCATTAATTCAAGCCCTTAACGAAAACATACCGTGTAAGAAGCTTGTCGTACCCTTCACGAAACATAACGTGCAAGATGTACAAGAAAAACGAAACGTATTTTTTTTTTTTTCAGAAAGCTAACCTTACCTTTACACAGGGGTGTGCAATTAAAAAAATTAAGTACTAGCCCACGGGCTAGTGGCAGCAATAAAGTTACTAGCCCCAAGTAAAAAGTTACTGCCCAAATGTAAAAGGGGGGATAACAGAAAACTGTTTATTGTTGGAAAAGTCAGGGTTTTAATGTCATTAATTCTTTAAAAAATTAAAGTTTAATTCTCACTAGTAAGATTAAATTATGTATAAATTAATAATTATGATAGAAAATAAAAATGAATTCAAATAATTTATCTTATCTACAACGAAATGAAAATCATTTTCTCGTCTTAATTAATTGATTATTTAATGATTATTTAATTAATCATTAAATACGCTGGAAATATATTTTATGTAAATCACATAACACTTATCTTTCAGTTGACTGAGTGATCGTAAATAATTTAATGAGATATCTGCATGTGTGTTTACCATAAGCAGAGGAATAGAGGAAATTCGGATTAGATAAAAACGATCGTTTTTGGAAGTAAATAAGTCAGGTAGCACTGCAAAATGGATACGATTATGGAGATTAACGAAGAGTAGGAACATGCTGCCAATTTTTTTTTCATTTTTTGAGAATTTAATAGCAAATAGTGAGTGAAAATACCGATAGTAATTTTCATGTATTACAATGGTAGTTTTAATTTTTACTAGCCCAAGGGGCTACCTCTGTGCAGAAAACTACTTGCCCGACCCAAAAAAATAGTAGCCCCGGGCGTCGGGCGATGCTAATTGCACACCCCTGCTTTACAACATAAAATATATTTTTAACAAAACGAAATGTACTGTGAAATGCGTGAAACCAACCGTACCGTGCTAGTATTACATGCATAATGACACGTTGTAGGGTCTGTAGCATAGGGTTTTAATAATGAGTCTATTTTTTTTTCAACATTGCAAGGGTATGTGGTATATGTATCTATCCCTTTAAAAAAAACATACTGCATACATGTACATGTGCATTGATATTTTATTTTTATTTTATTTATTTTTTTTTTTTTTTTGTGAACTAGATATTTTTTTTCTTTAAGAAATGAATATTTTCTAAATTCCATTTAACTGTGAAGAAATAAATATAATATTTCAAATAAGGTTAAATTTATTATTTACCAACACTTTTATATTGCAGATCAATCTTGCTATAGAAAAGCGTTCACATTACGTTCAATTGGGTAAGTAAAGAAATATATATATATATATATATATATATATATATATATATATATATATATATATATATATATATATATATATAAATAGCAGGATAATGATATCCTTCCCTCCAGCTAAATCGGTTCCATCAGAATAAAGTATACATGTAATAAGGTTTTCTTTCTCATTTTTCTTAACGGGCCTCCATACCCATACAGACAAAAAGCATCCTTTCTTCTGTAAAATCGACAAACCTTTTTAATGCGGGTTGAAAGTTATTACAAGCATTAATTTGTGCACATGTATGAGAGAAATTAAGATTCGGTCTTTCTTGAATACAACCGTAATCATCGCTATATTAAAAGTGTAACTTCCGTTTTAAAAAGTGTATTCGCATTATTAAACGCATCGGCAGAAGATTTAATAAAATTCATAATATGTAAGGGTGCCAATTATTGTTGGATTTTATGCTCACCATCACTTGCGCTTTAAACAGCAAGCATGTTATTTGATAAAATGGGGGGTAAGTACGGCTAAAAATATAACGCAATCTTACTATAATAGTGATATTCCACTATTATAGCGGAATATACGTTTCCCCCAACCTGTTAGATAGATTACACCATCAGCACAAGTATATACTGGTCCTAGCTGAAAAAGCAGGTAACACAATTGTTTTGTTTGTAAGGCTCATTATTTTGATTGTATTTTAGAGAAACTGAGATTTAATTTTACAAGTGGTAATCCAGCTTATGCCCATAGCTTCCTTTCTAAGGAAAATGTTTTCAAAAGCATTTATCAGTTTTGAATATTTTTAATATTCACAACAACCAAAATGAATTCAAATTACCATATCTATCCATATCCTTGCAAACAAAGATACATAGCAGGCTCCAGGAAATTTCTACTAAGCCTCTTTCTTTATTCCTCACTAGAATATAAACAACAGTGAAGAAAAAAAAAATAATGAGTAATGTGCAGCAATATATTCGAGAAGTAGTGTAAATTAGATATGAATACTTAAAATCTCCAAGGAACTTTAAGAAAATTTGAAATTACAAAATTTTACCAAAATCAATAACATCATGACGTACGACTTTTCAACACTCTAATGTACCACTATTTCCCAAGATAAGTTAAAGTCCAGGCTTTTTGACATCATAGACGGCTGCCTTTTATCAGTAAAAATGTAACTCGTACATGTAAATTTACTTGGTAATTTAATTGGTAACTTACAAAATTATTTTGTTAAATGTATACACACGTGCTCTGAATTAAGTTGATATTAAAAAGATGGTTGAATTTCTGATTTACAAAATCTATGTTGTATTTGGAGACCAGACCTTTCAAAAATCTGTTGGAATTCTCAATTGCACCCCGTTATTAGTAGACCTATTTTTGTATTTATTTGAGGCAAAATTTATTCAAAATACCATACATGAGAAGAAGAAAACACTTGCTGTGGCCTTCAACTCGACATCTGGATATATAGACGTATTATCAATTAACAATTATTCTTGCCATTCATTGGTTGACACGTTATATCCCAGTGACCTTGAAATAAAAGATACCACAGAATCTGACACATCTGTTTGTGGAAATTTTACTAGAAAAAGACGTTAATGGTAATTTAGCAACCAAGCTTTATGGTAAACGTGATGACTTTAACCTTTCGATCGTCAACTCTCCTAATCTATGAAGCAATATATCCTTGTCAACTGCATATGTGGATTATATCTTTCAGTTAATTCGATACGTAAGAGCATGCTCTACTTAATCTGAACAATTTCAAAAGCGAGGTAATGTATTGACAAACAAGTTGATGAGTTGAAGTCTTGTTTAAAGTCATCATTCCGTAGGTTCTATGGTCGATACAATGACCTTGTCAGCAAATACAATCTTTCATTAAGTCTAATGCTGACTGACGTTTTTCATATTAATTGTTGGACTATTATTCACACATCGAATTTTCGACGGCTATTTTTTTTTACAATAAAATGACAGACTTTGTTCGTCAGTATGAAAAAAAAAACGCTTTTGCGGGTTCCAGGTGTTTTTTTATTTATTTATTTATTTATTTTTCATGCAACAGCTGCAACATTTATTCCCAACTAAACACGCAAAGAAATAGTTTTGTTGTGAAATAATGTCATGTTTTAAATATGAAAATTGCTTAAAAATTGAAATGATTTAACTTTAATAAGTATTCACATCACACGATCAACTACTCGTCAAAGTACAATTTGTAATCATCATAACTTTTTTTTTACTTCATTATTATCCAGAGAGTTTATGATGTTTACTAATTCGTACAACACTGTTTGTTTACTGCCTTTAATACACACAGTATTGAAATAAATCCGTATACTTGAGAGATGAAGGAGATTTGTAAGATATAAACATGCACATACTTTTATTCATGATAAACGATCAGCTCTACCTTTGTGATCTAGCTGAAGCTCAGAAGCTTAAGAAAGTCAAACCTTCGAAGACACTTGTAAAGTCTAGTTACTGGAAATATCTTTTTACATCTTTTGCTATCAATTCAATTCTACACGTAAGTTTTATGATAAAAGGTTCCCGTTTTCATGCCACTCTCTTTTTTTATCATGAACTTAAATATTCTTTTTTAACTGTGATCTTCTTTATTTCTACCCTTATCAAATAAAGGAAAACTGTTAAAAGTGAACAGCTTACGGAATGTTTATTTAAAAGCAGTTTTGTAAAAATCCTAGCTAAAGTAACTGCTTAAAAACTGACAATGAATGAAGAGTACAAGCTTATCTATTTTTTATGCTTTCACAACAGCTTTGAAAACTGCTATCAAGCGGACAGCTTAAAACTGCCAAACAGCTGCTAATCTAATAAAAATTGCTAGAAAAACTGCTTAATTTTCAGCTTTTGTTGCCGTGGTCTCTTTATTTGTTTATAAATTATGAACAAAAGTATAAACAAACAAATTAAATACAGTGAAGAATATATTTTTTTTTTCATTTTTCCTTTTTTTTTACAGACCTGAAAGTCAACGCGGGAGTAATGGAAGTGAATATATTGTCAACACAAAGGTCCAAATCTGCGTCATAGTAATTCTTCAATTATGTACATCAGCCTTGTTAAACACTTTTGAATAGCATTAGACCTACTACGAGGACAGGCACTGACATATTCTACAATACTTTCTATAGACTGCATGTAATCATTTCTGTCCTTTCCCTATTTTTACATAGGAGCACTCATATACCACTATTATGTACAATTGTACATAAAATATAAGAACATTGTGCAGCTTATTATTATATCGCAGCTATGTTAAGGCTTCCGGAAGCTTTTAAACGCGCTCAAAACATAATATGTCATTGCGAGGTCGGTTTTGGTTTTAATTTATAAGTATTGAACTTAAATACTTCCAATTCATATAGAGGGTTTCCTCGGCTACATATTAACATATTTGTTATGGTATCACATGACTTGTAAGTAACATTCAAACTAACACTATTTAATGTTTCATGTACACGAAAATACCTTTATTAACTCATTTAAATACAATACTATTTTTTTTTATGGTTGGATAGAACTACTTCAATTAATATCATTGTCATTTTGAAATGAAACTGGTAGAACGTACATGTAAAGAATTTGTGTCTGTTTTCGTAGTAGGTTAAAAATTATTATTGAATTTAACACTTTGATTTATTTTCCACCTTTGCCTTTATAAAAAGAAATTGTGTTTCATGAGTTATATGAACACGCTTATCTTTTAACTATAAAGGATATGTGAAACCTTTCTGCAAATGTGCAAAATTAAATTTTGAATTTTGATATTTATATTTTCTCATTATGTAAAATTAGTATTTATTCATTTATTTTTCAAATTTATGTACTTTTAGCACTTAAAAATAGTGTATGGACATCAATATTCTACATTTCACATGTTGATAACCATTTCTTTTTGCGTGAACAACTTTTGTGACTTGGGTTTTTTGCGTGTATTTGCAAATCAGATGTAATATAAGCACTTCAATAATCAAAGCTAAGCTTTATTATTGACGAGTTTGCATGATCTAACGAAAACGTTTTCAGTCAACTGGAAATTATTTACTATCTTTCTCCTGAAAATTATTTAAATTGTATTTGTTGTAAATTTCATGCATAATTAATAATACTGTAAGTCGTTTTAATTTCATGGTGTTAAAATTTCACGGTTTCTCAAAAAGTACCAATTGCGATGGTTTTAATTTCATGCTGCAAGGAAATAATTAAAATTTGGTTTAATCATTTAAGCGTTTTTAAAAACTAATGATAGCATTCAAAATTGGTTTAATTTCCAAATTTTTAAAAACCATCGAGATTATTTGCCAATCTACAATATTTTGACGTAATGAAATTGTAAAATAAAGTAAGGAGTAAATGGGGCGCTTAAACATGTTCACATTTTGATTTTACTGAAGGCCTTCAAAAATTGATTTTGTTAGATACAATTAATAAATATGTCACCTCTGCAAACATCATTAAACATATGTTTTTAAAATTGCCTGCAATTTATGTCAAAATAAAAAAAAAAGGAACTTTGATACAAACTGACTCATTTAAATTTTGAAACCAAAGTGAATTTTATAGGATTTTTGTCTACCTAACATAAATTTTGAAATATTCCACTTGCTGACAAATTAAAGGCGCTGAATTGTTTACGCAGCGTGCATGTTCGTTCGTACCGTGAAAATTCATGTGTATATCAGGTTAATTATATATAATATATTACGCTTATATTGCTTACCTTAAGTCATGCCATAAACTTTTGGAATTTAGATAGAAAAAGACTATCATTTACAAAACATATAACAAAACTATCCTCAAAAAGTAACACAAATAAAGTTACTTTATATCCCACTAAAATCACTTTCGTGTATCCGCGCCGGTTTTGACGAGAATGGATGAAGTAACAATGAATGGGCCATTTTAAGGTAAGTTTAATTACACAGTTTTGTAAGAAAAGACCTCACTTCTGTCGCTGTTGCTTTTGCATTTTTTTTAAATCAAAAGCCATTAACCTAGCTTAAGGACTAATGACCCTCTGCTCCAAATTTCACGATTTTTTTTTTCAAACTTTCCAACACTGATTTTCATCAAGAGTTATAGCATCAAAATCAAATGAAAAATAGTATGAGGTATGAAGCGCTGCTTATTTTTTTCAGAAATAATTTTTATGTCAGATCATAATATGAAGAAGTTTTAACACAGAGATTAGGAAGAATAATAATTTATTATCACAACATAAAATTAGAAATATGCGGTGTATATGAAAATAATATTTAGTGTCATACCTACTAAATTCATATTAGAAATCATAATGAAGCTCTGCTTCCTAAGTCAGAATATCACAATGTTATATGTGGATTTAAGAAAACAATATATCTGTTAGCAAGAGTTATCTTTCTTATAAATAGTTTTTCATTGGAAATAAAATGTAATACTAATAAAAAATCTATATTTGGTGCTTGATACATTAAACCATTTTTAAAATGATAAAAGATAGAACTTATTCAATTTTTAAGGGTTTTAAAATTGGATTTAAATGTTTTTTTGTCAAACATAATAAAACAATTTGAAAAGTACAGTCAAAGGAAATATAAGGTAATGTTTCCATCATATGTTAAGTTTGATCGAATTGACTGCTCAAAGGTCTCGATAATTAAACTCTGATAAAGTAAACTATGAGTAATACTAGGATATTTTACCTGGAAAGTTATCTCTCTTATCAGAGTGTCGGTCCCCCTTAAACGACGCGACAGACAAGACGCTTACCAAACCGGATATTGAAATAAACTTTTAGTCAAAACATAATGCGCTAGAGCAATACTAGTAAATCATTTCGTTTTAACGATGATTTTTTTTTTTCATTTTGCAGCTAAAAGGAAGTCTATGTCTATAAGCATTTACGCAGCTAGGTTAAGGATTCCCATACTTACATCAGCCTATGCAGAGCTTTGGGAAATCGATTATGGCGTCAGGTTAAAACTGTACAAATAAATCTCGGCGAATAGATAAAAACGTTCTTTTTCATACTCACTTACATACAGTAATTTCTCATAAATGTTGTAAACATAAATCGATGGGTATCAAATCTTGTCATGATAACACTATTTGAACGTAGAATTAAAACCACCATCCCGCTGTCCTGACTGAGATGACGTCACGGACTGGTTTGACACGCAGTTTCTCTGTACTTGAGGCGAAGATCAAACTATTATTGTAGGTTGTACATATGAATAATAAAATGAAAAAAGCGTGATCTGACATAAATTGAGTCATATTCTTGAATGTATTAGTCAATATTTTATAGTCTTATTAAATTGAAAATGAATAGACCTCGTATAAAGCCGCAGTAAGGCACATTTATACATAAACGTACTACAGTCACAGGCACAGCACCTAAAAAATCTTAAAAATTCAACGATATGCGCTAAGCTATAAATTATGATATTTAGACACATTTAGCTATAATCCATACTTTTTTGAAAAGTGCTTGGAGCTGGTTGTGCGCTGTTACTTTTTTCCGTATTTTAACATTATTTCAATGCATATGTCAATGTACGAAGTTTATCAAAAGACGGCTAAATTTTACATAAATCCCGGACATGGGGAAGTTGCTCCCAGCACTTTTCAAGTTAGGGAATTTGTCTTAAATAAACTTTTACGATCTTTGTAGCCGTACTTATTTTTTTCTAATTTTATACATGTCACGTGACAAACAGCTGATGTAAGTGAAGTTGCTTTGGCCGAACTCGGCAGATATATCTGTTACAACGCGAAATGTAATAAACTGAGATCATTACATTTTACGTTATTACATTTCGTGTCGAGATCTACACAGAATGTTATAACGCAAAATGTAATAACACAATCTTTAGAATATTACATTTTGCGTTATTACATTTTGCATTGGGACTAACGCAAAATGAAATAACGTACTTTTTCGTTGTTACAGTTTGAGTTATTTAATTTTTGTTTATAGGACAACGCAAAATGTAATAAAACAAACTATAACAATTTTTTTTGATTGGGTTCAACGCAAAACATCACACAATATTTACATTTCCAATGTCTTTGTCCGAGATAAAATTACAAATTGTAAAATTACTTTATTTCTACATAAATCAACTGGTTCATCGATAGGCGCGGTTAAAAAAAATCACGTGCGGGGCGGGACAAATAGAGACAGAAGCGGGGCTATTAGCACGGGAATTTGCAGAATCAGGAGCATGTAAATATAAGGAATAACTGTCAGATTTTTTGGATTCATGACGATGATCAATCGATTGGCTTGCGTGATAATTTTATGCATAAACGCCTTCGGCGTTTATGCAAATTATCACGCAAGCCACTCGATTGATCACATCATGAATCCAAAAAATAAGACAGTTATTCCTTAAATTCATTTAAACATATAAATATGTAAAAATATATAGACAGATAGAACTAAAGCTATGAAGCAAACGTTACGGCTTTTACAGACATTAGTAAATCTAAGTGTATCTTTTCTCTAATTCTGTTTCTTACATTTTTATTGAATACTTATAAAACATTAACTTAACTTTGATTGACGTGTCTATTTATAAATCAGTCTGTATTATACATGCAATCAATGACATTTTTAAATACCAAAGATTGACCATGGGTCCATTAAAAGCTGTTGATATGCATGCACGTGTGTGCATGTGTGCTTTGGTTAGCATTTTAGAAGTGTTTCTGTGTCTGGCGAGGAGAGGCAGGCATGGTGTTGGGGTTTTTACTTTGTATGTTGGTAATTGAATTTCTACGCACATATGCATGCAGAAACCATCCATTCTCTGTTAGAGAGAGAGAGAGAGAGAGAGAGAGAGAGAGAGAGAGAGAGAGAGAGAGATTTTAACTGGTCTGCAATGTACGTGATTTGTAAAACTGTATGAAATCGTAATTGTCAATACCCCCCCCCCCCTGCTTTGCTATATTTATACCTGCTAAGGCAAATCAGATTTTTTTTTTTTTTAATTCAATGCATGTGTCTATCAAAAAGCACACTGATAAACGAATTTAACCCCATCCCACCCCATCCACCACCCCCGCAAACACGTTTCTAATTTGAAACACTTATGATTTGAGTATTAAACTGATTTTTAATAGCAAATGAAATCAAGCATATTATAAAATCCCATCTTATGAAAGAATAAGCATATTTTTATTTTCTTTTCGTTTCTTTTCTTCATCCACTACTCTATTGAAAATAATTCTCAACCTGACTGACCAAAAAGTGTGTTATTACATTTTGCCTTCTTGCCTTTTTGCTAAATCTCGACGCAAAATGTAACAATGCAAAATGTAATAATGAAAAAATAGTGTTATTACATTTGCGTTATTACATTTTTTGATCTCTATGCAAAATATAATAACACCAAATGTAATAATCCTAAAAAGTCTGCGGCTACATTTTGTGTTATTACATTCTGCGTTGATCTCGACGCAAAATTTAATAACGCAAAATGCAATTATCCCGGTTTATGACATTTTGCGTTGTTATTACCTTTCGCGTTGCAACAGACCCCAAATTCATATGCACATAGTAGAATTCCCATTAATCAAAACTCATGCTGATAAAAAATATTAACACTATATTTATTTTCTCGGAATATTTTAAGGCGTATTTTTTATGGGCGTCCTTAACCTAGCTGCGTATTAATTCATGACATTATGCCGAAAATATAGTCTAACGATCCTTAAAACCAAAGGGTAACGCAGATGT